GTATGTGTGTGTACGTTCTATCAGGGATTCCAGAAAGAGCCAGAGTTTGAGACCAGCAAGTCACATATTATCCTTGGAGATGGCCATTGTTGCCAGGACGTCGAAGCCAGGGCCGCAGTCTCAAAGCATGCTGGCAGTTGCATGCATTCCACTGTATCCACATCATTTTGGGAGCTATGGGTAAGATGGGTTTACTGTCTGATCATGACTCATTGGTTAACAAATCATCTAATTCACTTTCAGTTTTTTAGCTCTTCACCATGACTGCTCATAAACTTTAAATTGCGGTAGCCCACTAATTTGTAGATACTCTGAGGACACGCACATGCTGACTTCAGTCACCAGAGAATAGCTCAGTAGTCAGACACAAACTCATGGGATTCTATTGGCAGCCAAAGATGTGGTTTTGTTTAGTTCACCAGACTAATATAGTGGAAAGCATTCATATTCTAACGGTCATTAAAATGGCAGTATACAGATGTTGGTCATGTCAGATAATTTCTTCTCCACCTACACAAACATAATGCATTATGAAGACATCATTCTCTAGTTTATAACCTTTCTGCTACCTTTCCAGAGACATATAAATTGCCAGTGTAATTCCAGTGTCTGAGAGGTTCTTCCAATCGCAGATGACCAGTCAGGATCCAGTCTGGCATGAAGTAATGATCTGGAGTGCTGCTAAGCCATGGAGGTATGTTACTAATTCACCTTATGATACAGTACATTATTGACTACTCAATGAGTCACAATCTGACTAAAAACCAAGAAAATGTCCTGTTAAAAAGACCATGCTGGCTCCACACTGTGACTAAAATGGTCGCAAATGTGACAAAAAAACCCATTTGTGACTAGATTTAAGATCTAGACTAAAATCTAGTCAGTTGGGCAATATTTCTGTGTCCATATGTGGTTTTGTCAGATATCAAGTTAGAGTGCATGCCAGTGTATAATGCATGCCGCAACGAACACAGAGCAAGCTGTGACGTCCTTTTTTGCAAACAACAAGCAGTATACAACCAGTCAAAGTTTTGAAATAATTAAGAATTTTTAAATGTTTTTGAAAGAATTATCTTATGATCACTGAGGCTGCATTTATTTGATCAAAAATGCAGTAGAAACAGTAATTAAAATAAGAAAACAGTTATTTTAAATTGTAATAATATTTCACAAAATTGCTGTCTTTTTTGTATTTTTGATCAAATAAATGTAGCCTTGGTGAGCATAAGAGATGTCTTTAGAAAACATAAATGAAAAAAAAATAATTATTACAAACTTTTGACCTGTAAGGGAACCTTTGTTTAGGAATAAGACTGTAAGGTGATTGTCATGTTGGAACCATATTCTGAACAACCAACTTCAGAATGTAAACTTGGCAACTAAAAGTCAATTGGCTTGTAAATGTTTTATTTTAGAAGCCATTGGGTCCCTATTTTTTGTTTTGTTTGTTTGTTTTTTGTCTGGAGCCCTGCTGCATCTTTAAGGTGCATGTCAAGCCCTTTATTCATTTAGCACTAAGCTTGCCTTGTGATACTTTAATGGAAAGTCCATGTGTCCATGAGAGAGAGAGAGAGAGAGGTTCTTTAGGTCCAGCCGACATGCTGAGTTAATGGAAGTAATCCTACACCCTAATGAAATAACAATGGTGCTGGACAGGACACACAGACACAATTCCTCTCTGTCGCTCTCCTTCCCCTGTCTCTCTCTCTCTGTCTCGCTATTCGGATATGATGTACCCTCTAAATTCATGTGCAACTGTAGATCATGCAACACCGCTGTGACCTCCAGACAGCACATAGACACGCCTCAAATAAAAATTAGTTTAATCGCTGGCACGGACTTTATTTCTACATTTCTGTTAGTTTAGGGAGGATAGTGAAAGTCTTTAAGTGATTTGACCTTTGCCCTTTTAGGCCATGTTACAAAATCTAATTAAACATTCTGCATAACCAGATCCCTTAAACCTACCCCATACCTACTTAACAACTACCTTACTAACTATTAATAAGCAACAAATTTGGATTTTATTGAGGTAAAAGTCATAGTTAATAGTTAGTTAAATACGAGAATTGGTACCCAAACAAAAGTGTGACCAAAAATGTGTTTGTCAATGTATTATTTGTTTGCTGCCTGTAGTACCTTATTAATGAAAGATGTATTGCTTCAATGGGATTTAAGGCCTGGCAAATGAAACTCTTCCCTGTTAGTTCCAAATATTTATGATTGGACCCAGAGTATCCAGTCTCAGTGCAAAAAACTGAAGTCAGTGTGTACACAAACACATAAATACACACTGTCCCACATGTACATAGACATGTCGGCTTATTTTCAAACTGACACTTATAATAAATGAGTCAAATGGAAGCATTCTACTGCATTCTGCTGTACGAGGAAATGCCATAAACAATTTCCAGAGGCAACTTCAGTCTCTCCCTTACATGCAAAGACACATGGAACCCGATACCAAGATGTCTACATCAGCAACAATTCTAAAATAACAAAAATGTCAGAAGTATTTCTGTCACACTCTCCTCTTCGTTCTCTGCCTCAGTTGATTGTTTCTGACTCACTGAATTCACTCTGTAAGTGTAAGGATTGTGAGCGTATTTTCTGGGCTCCTTTCTTCAGGTATTAGCAGTATTTACGAGGTGTTAAATATTTCTTCCCCGAGCAGGCAGCTGCTGGAACCATCAGAGCCCACACGGCCAGGCCGAGTTCATTAACCTGCTTAAGGAGCCTGTCTTTGGGGCTCAGTGGCCACAGTCCTCCCCTGCCTACCTTCACTACACTTATCAAGAGTACGGTTACAGCACTTGAACTACTAATGAAATCTATTAAATAATGTCTTTTCATTACAGTCGGCCATTGATGCATGAATCACTTTTGAAAATGCAGAGGAGAACTACTGCATGTAATACCTCACGGTCAAGCCACAGTACATCAGTTACACTCGAATAACAGACACTGGAGCTTTACAAATGAGACTCAGACTCCTTTTAGCCTTTAGAGATGATAGTCATATTTTTTGAACAGTCATATTTAAAATTCAGTCATCATTTACTCATCTTCATGTCATTCCAAACTTGAATGCATGGTTTCTTCTGTGGAACACAAAAGAAGTTGATTGAAAAAAGTTGTTTTGCTCACCATTGTCCTGATTGGCTGTCAATGTTTTTATCGTTCATGAGCTGGAAAAAAAATTGTTTAGAAAACTGTTCGTTATCGTCTTTGATGTGAACGGGCTTTTAGATTTGGAATATACCAATTGAGTAGTATGGATTCATTTTCTTTGAAGAACAACTGAAACATTGTTTCAAACAACAAAGCCACAAGAGTTTGCACGACATACGGGTGAGTAAATAATGACAGAATTTTCATTTTTGGGTGCATTTTGGGTCCATTTCTTAAATGGACTCTTATCGCTATAATAAATGCATATCTGAGACCACAGATGAAGATTTTATGTAGCACTGATTGTTTTTCATGCACTTATTGCACAATATCTGGGCAACATGGGCCTATGTGCGCTGTGGGGGAGGGGGCATAAACCGTGCGTCTTCATGCCAGCGAGCCAGATGCAACCCCATTCGCGCCCCTCTTGGTGTATTTTTATTATTTGTTTGACAGGCATCTTCTGGTTCTACCGTGTCAGCACAGTGCAGTGTGCAGCCAAAAGTTTTGCACAAGTCTATAAATAAGACCCCGCTGAGCGCATGCTAGCCCCTGCACTTGCTCTTAAGAACCACGAATGCCCACCCTAAGCCACAAATTGGCCTGGAAAAAAATATTTAAATAATGGCCAGGTAGTCTCTGCAAATGTTGTGCAGAAAAAATAGCAAAAAATATTTCGAGAATCTAAGTATAGGTTTAAGAGCAATACACATCAGACAGAGAGTGAACAGACTGTGGGTGAGTAAAAGCTCTTTTACCTTTGACCTCTAAAACCTGTATTTTGCAAAGAAATGCAATGAGTGAGGAAGAAAGGCTAAAAGAGAGCAACAGAAAGCAAAGCTCCACTATAAAGTAATTCACTGCTTGATTGTGCTCAGTGATTACTGCTATATTAGCCAGACTCCTCCTCAAGCACTGAAAAATGATGCTCCTGAGGGCCAAGTTGGGCCGCGTTTGACTGACACACTGTTACAGAAAGAAAACAAGAATTTCATGCTGTTGAGTGGAATGTAACTAGCAGGGGGCTGCTGTTGATCTGCAAGCTTAACTCCACATGCTGCATGAGAATTTGGCTCCATAAACATTATGAAAGAAACAACATTTCCCCACTCTTTTAAAACACGAGGGAGATGAGCACACACCTCTACTCATGTCATTTTAAAAGCACTTTGTATTTAAGTGCAATTTATTGGAATAAAAAGTCAGTTCAATGGAACTGGACGATTAAAGGCTACTAATTAAAAGAAAGAAATTAAATCAGTACAGAGGTCTTTAAAATCGTGAAATTGTGAGCCCCTGCATACTTTGCGAATTGTTTAAAAATGATGATAGCTTTGCCCATAATATCTCTCATGTGAGCTGCGACCATACAAGCATCAACAACTTCCATGCAACTATAGGACGTTTTCCTATTTCTTTCTCACTGCTGGCTGAATTTCAGCATGACTTTTTCCGCCCTCATGTTAGGACATGTTTTAAATATTTGACTGAATAAACCGAAGCTATTTTAGTGGTTTGGCTGCTCTAAGTGTTGATAAATGTTAATTAGAGGAGCTCTCTTTTCTTGTGGAAGTGGAAGTCCAATATGAGAGTGAATCTGATCCCAAGACAAGGGTTTGACTTGGTTGTTGTTGTGTGGTGGTGGTAAATAAAACTGTGCTGATCACTCGGACGAAACTATTAATAAGAGCCTCATCCTGGCCCTTGTGCTGTGCCCCATTACTGGTTTGGGTGGGAGCCAACAGCAGCACCCCGCATGGCAGCTGCGCGCATGCGCATCAATGACCGCTCTTGCTCCGCGGCTACAAGAGAACTTTAATAATGAAGTAGACCACGGAGTGCGCGTGTGTTCACGTTAACTTTAGGAGCGTAAATTAAAGGGGAAAACACGGCTAGTGCAAGACAGCGCTCCTCGGAGTTTGGGTTATAGTGGTGATCTGTCAGTTGGAGCTTTCCGCTCCGGTGCGGCCAGTGCAGCTCTCATGAACTTAGTGAGGACTTTCCCGCGAGCTTCACTGACAGCGCGTGCACTGACTGGCGCGAGCTGTTCCTCGAGCTTCACGCAGCTCGACCACTTGAATATTTTTGGCTGAGCATGTCAACAGAGTGAATGCGAACGGACCTTCTGGAGAGTTTGGAAATCGTAGCAACGCACAACTCATAAGAGTAAGTATCCATTTTGAATAGCAATAACATATGTTGCTTTTGGGAAACTTTAAAACTTTTGCTGAATGTGGCAATTTACAACGCGTAAGAGCAGTTTGTTGGAGCACCTGCTCACGCCTGATACTTTCACGTGATTTAAACGTCTGAGAAAATTGGTACTCATAAACGGTGAACGGAATTGCAAGTTATAGCATTAGAATACCTATAAAACCTATGGAAGTAAGACTTTTTTTTTTTTTTTTTTACCAGTTATCACTTTAAAATATCAACACACAAAATGCAAAGTCTAACTGCTGCCTGAAAATTATTAAATAGTACAAGTGGTACCAAAGTGACCACTTAACATTGTACTTTTTAGAACTTTTTCCCAAGAAAATCGATTTGAAACTTTGAAAACTCGAGTAGAAATGACAGTTATGTGGATGGAGGACAATGATGCTTTTTACACTGTTAGCGCACTATAACACGTTCACTCTTCTATTTAAGACTCGATTAGGCCTACAAGGATTTGAGTTATTTCGACAACAGAAGCGCATCATTTTTTGTTTTATTTTTTCTTATTATTTGATATTATTGTACTTTATGCATGAAGTGCAATGATTATTTTCACAAATATTCAAGTGGTCTTTTGAACAGTAGAGTAATTTTGGTTCTGAGTTTGTCGGGTGGTTCCCGTATCCGTTTGAATCGCGCGTACCTTGTTCGTTTTCCCATGCACGTGGAGTTTGTGTTTGTATTTGACTCGGAGGAAGCGGGAATATCATCCCGACACTGAAGCCGCTTCACTGCGCGTTGGCCATTGGTCGCTTTCTCGCGCTGTCGATAGCAGCTCGAGCCGATACCGGAGAAGGAGCCCGGATTAGATTGCACACTTAACACGAAACATTTCACAACACACAGGTCGCTCTGGTGGCTGGTAATAAAATGGAGTGTATTAGCCAACAATTACATAAGAAAACATCAGTGACCTCCTATTTGTCCATCTCCAGGCCTCAAACTTTGGGGAAAAACTCGAGACTGTTTTACATCTATTTTTAAAAATTGCAGGACACTTTAATTGATTGACTGATTTACAAGATACAGTTTTGGACTGAATTGTGGGGCATTTTAAACGTTTTTTTTTAAGTGTTTTGTAGAGTCTCTAGATGAAATCTAATAATAGCCTTTGTTTTGATCACATACAGTTCTCTTTAGTAGATGAATTATTAAATCGCAAAAAAACCTCAGTGTTTCTTCTTACTTTAAAACAAACAAAAAAATCATTCCTGTTATCAGAATGTTATTTTGAGAGCCTATATAAGAGGGTAGTCATGTAGAATTGGGTAAGGGTCAAAGGTAACCACCCATAGTGGTTTGGATGTAACATCACACCCTGAATGGTTAAAAATGTGTTTTTATGATCTTTGCACTTTGCATTTTATAGCTATTTCACAACAGTTTACGACTAACTAACTCTTTAGTAAAACTACACTGTAAAAAAAATTCTGTAGTTTTTACAAAATAATTTTGGCAGCTGTGGTTGCCAGAATAATTTTGTAAAAAATACAGAAAAACTGTAAACACATTTACGGCCAAAAACTGTACATTTTACAGTATAAAACTGTAATTTACAAACAAGAACATTTGAATGTAAACCAGTAAATTCAACAATGCACACTGCTATTAAAATCTGTTTTGTACCTTTAACATAAACTGACAACCACCATAATAATGCAGGTGGTAAAAGAGAAAGCCACATGAAGAATCAAAGCTCATCACAAGTAGCTTCGCCACAAGCAGAAGTATATACTAATATATAGAAGGTGCACAGAGTCATTCATGCAAACACAAAACACCATCATGGTAACACACATGATACTTAAATAATGCATTAAACTTTCATTAAACAACAGAAGATGTAACATAAAGCCCAAAAATACATAACTAATAACAAAAACTATTAAAAAAACATGATTATTTAAACAAAATACTTTCAAATGTGGAGTGTCATGCAGGGAATTCTGGGAATATCAGTTTACAGGTTTTTTGTTTATTTGTTATTTTTACTTCTAAAAACTGTAAAATTAACAGCATTTTACTGTAAAATTACATGAAATGTCTGGTTAGATATTTTACAGTTTTTCCCTGTATATAGTACGGGAACTTACTGTTAACCTATTAACAGTTTTTTTCCGGAGCGTTTTTACAAAATTTTACAGTTAAAATTACACTTATTTTTTACAGTGTAGTAAACAGTAAAATAAGTAACACCTTGCATACGTTTTGCCAGGAAAGTAGGCCTACACTGTTGAAAATTAAGGTTCTTTTAAATGGTTCCTTGTGGCATCTGAAGTATCAATAACATTCTTCACTACGTACAGTTCTTGAGTTGAGCTGTGCTTTTTTGGAATCTTGCACAGACTAGATGGTTTTCTGAAGAATTAAAAAGCTCTTCTAACTGGAACCTTTTGGAAGTTAAAAGTTTCTCACAGGGTGGAGGAGAAAACATTTAAATTAAATAGTGAAATCGGTTATAATAACAATGAATCTATGAAATAATGACTCTACACGTCATGCATTAATTAAAAAATATTCCCATAGGCAAAACCTTTTGCGCAATTTTAAACAATTTGTTACCGGTCCAGCTTTTTTATTTATTAGTAGTAGGCAGTGTGTTTTGACAATGGAGTGAGCGCTGATGATTTAAAGGGAGGAAAACGAAAGCTTTGGCGTATTTGGCTTTCCTGTGCGTTGCGCTTGTGCCGCGGTTGTGTCGAATCGCGCACAGAATGCCGCGCTCCGCGTGCTTACTTGACAATAACAGTAAAGCGCGCTTTGCTATTTTGAGACGTAATGATCTTCTCTAATTGGACGGTTTACCATCCCCAGAATGTTTCCTTGTATATTGTTTTCCTTGTTTGACTTAATAAAATGTTTTGGTCAGGGACAATTGTTGCATATCAGTGGCTTTTGATTTGAAAATGCGTGTTGACCGAAGGGACAAATTTCAGCTCCTACCCATTACATGGTTAGTGTAATGTGTCTTCTGCTGCTTGGCTGTCTGTCTGTTCATTGTGTGTGTGTGTGTGTGTGTGTGTGTGTGTGAGGACAGTAGGCTCAGAGGGCACTGAGTGATAACAGTAAAAATCAATGCTGCTCAGCTCATTCCCCCGCCTGAGCATTAAAGGCTAGAATTTCAGAACACAGCTTCACCAAGCAAATGAAACATTCAAATGATCTGCTCTTCAAACTGTGCCCTTCAACACTCTTTCTCTCCCTTCCACTTACACACACACACACACACACACACACACAAGCTTGTATACATATGCTTGTGGGGACTTCCCATTTAAATCCATTGTTCTTAGTACAGGTCATTGTAATCAATATGGCTACCATAAACTAAAACATATTCCCAAACAGAAGCATCATGACCATTCAAATGGACCCTTCAGGTTTTTGAGCAAAGTCAAAAATTGTTTCAATGAAGATAGAAACAGGTGTTTGTCTAAAATGATTTGATATTCAATTCACATAAATTTGGGCAGTTCAGTTGAGTTGCTCTTTTCTCAGATAATTTATTTTTAAATGAAAATTCATTGCATATTCTTGGTCCACTTTGTTCCCCAAAACATAAAAAAAAAATTAAGAGCTGCTCTTTTCCATACAACAAGATTTTTTTTTTTTTTTTTTTTTAAGAAATGAATACTATTATTTAGCAAGGGCACACACAATTTTGATAGTGAAGACTTTTACTTTAAAAAAATCAATTTCTTATACCTTCGTTCACTTTTTTAAACTATGACCAGCATTCCAGACCCCAGAGAAGAAGTTCTACATTGGCTGTGAAAAAGGAGGCGCTAGTCTTATCAAGGTAAACGTATTGGCTACTTTTGAAGTGTTTTTTTTTCAACAAAAAAATTTTTTTTTTTTTTTTTTTTTTTTACTGTTTGTTGTTCTGGAGATATGTAAACAAATTGAATTTCCAATAGGTTAGCAAAACCTGTCCTTTCACACACGAACACAAGTTTAATGTTAAAAATACAGCAAATCACAGGCAGGTTTTTAAACCACAGTTCTGGTACCTGTGGCAGGACAGAAAATAAACCCATTCTTCTCATCCCGAGGCTTTCAAGGTCTTCCAAAGAGTTTTTGAATAAAAGTGCTTTTCATTACTGAGGCCTCAGGAGGTTTCAAAGTAGTTTACAGAAGTTTCAAGCTTTAAAATGACAGGGGAAGGATGGGAAGAGAGAAAGAGAAAGATGGAGGGTGGGATGGGGTGGAAGGGGCTTCACTGGGGGACTCAAAATCATGGTTAAGTGTTTTTAGTGACTACTGCCATGCTAGCATCACCGTGACCTGGACAGCTTGGATTTTTGTGTGTACTGAGTGCATTTGTGTGTGTGTGTGTGTGTGTGTGTGTTACATTGATTACATTTCTCTCAACCCATTGTTTAATGTTTACTTCTGTAAATTATATTTACTTCAGCCTAGCTGGCTATGATACAGTGAAGTTACCAGACTTCTTCCTTCCCCTCCTACACACATATACCCACAGACACAAAGAGAGAGCGAGAGAGAGGGATGCCTAGCGTTGTATTGTGTTTATGGTGATTTTAAAGCATCCTTCATTTGCAGGTGTCTGGACTGTAGTCGAGGGGAGTGGAAGTTCATCTGATGGAGAATACACAGGAGCTGAATGAACAGAGCGTAAGTGAAATATAACTCAAGACTATTCAGATGTGTTTTACAACATTATGGCTTTATCTGTCAGAAGATTATCTTCTTTTCTTTCATTGTCTGTGTATTGAGTTTATCACTCCACTATTTCAGAAAATTCAGACCAGTGTATTGTGCAGTATCCTTTAAAGACTCTGTATGTGTTGTATATTTGGAAATGTATAGATAAAATACCATCCAACTGACTCTCTGTACCAGTGATTCTCAACCACGGGTGTGTGTATCCCAGGAGGTTCTTAGGAAGATACTGGTTTTACTTTGTTAAAACCTATCCACCTTATTTTTAATGAAAGAGCAAGCTTGACCATTTGTAACTTTAATGTGCAAGGCTTATAAACGCACTGATTTGTAGCACAAATATTTACTCTGTTATTCTTTTAGTTATTTAATTATAGCTAATGAATCGAAAGTCTTTCTCATTCGCAGGAAATAGCTTACTTCCACAATGAAAAACAAGGTATTATAAATATTTACTGTATATCAGCACTCTTGGAAAGTTTATGGTCAATCAAATTCAAGGACCAGAAGTCCAGAACTAACTGTATAGTATCAATTATTTTATTATTTGTTTCTCAAGAAAGTTTCTCCAAAACTCATCTTTCTATTCATCAAAGAATCCTGAAGAAACTCTTTTCATCATGGATAATAATTCAAATGTTTCTTGAGCAGCAAATCAGCATATTTGAATTATTTCTGAAAGATCATGTGACACTGAAGACTGGAACAATGATGCTGTAAATTCAATTCCATTTTAAAATATAATAAATTGGAAATAGTTATTTTAAATTGTAATACTATTTACAGTATTACGGTTTTACTGCATTTTTGATCAAATAAATGTAGCCTTGTTAAGAATAAGAGACTTAAATATTTTTTAAAAATCCACCAACCCCAAGCTTCTGAACAGTAGTGTATGTCTGTGCAAATAATAGTTGAAAACACTCAGGAATATTTATTTAAAGTTTAAAACATGGTCTAAGCATAAGATTTAAGATGGCAGAATTGTGTGAATGAGTGTGTGACAGGTGGAGGGACAGTATGAGACCAGTTCATTTTTATGAATGTGGAAATCTGCTTGTGCGTGTGTGGCAACAGGTGGCAGAATCACTGTAGGAGCAGAAACGATTTTAAAGCATCCTTCATTTGCAGGTGTCTGGACTGTAGTCGAGGGGAGTGGAAGTTCATCTGATGGAGAATACACAGGAGCTGAATGAACAGAGCGTAAGTGAAATATAACTCAAGACTATTCAGATGTGTTTTACAACATTATGGCTTTATCTGTCAGAAGATTATCTTCTTTTCTTTCATTGTCTGTGTATTGAATTTATCACTCCACTATTTCAGAAAATTCAGAGCAGGCCAGTGTATTGTGCAGTATCCTTTAAAGACTCTGTATGTGTTGTATATTTGGAAATGTATAGATAAAATACCATCCAACTGACTCTCTGTACCAGTGATTCTCAACCACGGGTGTGTGTATCCCAGGAGGTTCTTAGGAAGATACTGGTTTTACTTTGTTAAAACCTATCCACCTTATTTTTAATGAAAGAGCAAGCTTGACCATTTGTAACTTTAATGTGCAAGGCTTATAAACGCACTGATTTGTAGCACAAATATTTACTCTGTTATTCTTTTAGTTATTTAATTATAGCTAATGAATCGAAAGTCTTTCTCATTCGCAGGAAATAGCTTACTTCCACAATGAAAAACAAGGTATTATAAATATTTACTGTATATCAGCACTCTTGGAAAGTTTATGGTCAATCAAATTCAAGGACCAGAAGTCCAGAACTAACTGTATAGTATCAATTATTTTATTATTTGTTTCTCAAGAAAGTTTCTCCAAAACTCATCTTTCTATTCATCAAAGAATCCTGAAGAAACTCTTTTCATCATGGATAATAATTCAAATGTTTCTTGAGCAGCAAATCAGCATATTTGAATTATTTCTGAAAGATCATGTGACACTGAAGACTGGAACAGTTTCCTTAACTGTAAAAATATTTCACAATATTACAGTTTTTACTCTGTTTTTGATCAAATAAATGCAGCCTGGGTGAGAGACTTCTTACATAAATATAAAACTTTAAACATGACTTGTCCCTCAGAAATGGACAGGGGCAGTTGTTGTATGTGTGTATATAGATTTCTTTAGGATGTTTGTATGTTTCTTTTGTTTCAATACAGATGTTAGGTATTCAAGTACTGGCGTTGAATTTGTTTCTCGAGAAAGTTTCTCCAAAATTGCCCCACAAAAAAAGTAAACAATGGTCACTTTTTAAGTAAAATGAATGATAATGCTGAATGATTTCCAGTAAAGTATCAGTTGAGGAACACATGCCTGGTTTAGTGTTGCTGTGTTGCAGTATCTAAGGCAAAAACAGTTGGGAAATGCCTGTCTATACTATGTGATAATTGGAAAGTTTGATCGTGCGGTTTGAAGTGTGAACGTGTTTGTGTGCATGAATGAGTGTGTGTGTGGAAAGGCCACCCAGGTGTGTACTGAGCAGCGTTAGGTCTTTAACTACTTTAATACTAAATATTGTAGAAACTTAATTTGCTGTAAAGTTGCTTTAAAACTCATCTTTCTATTCATCAAAGAATCCTGAAGAAACTCTTTTCATCATGGATAATAATTCAAATGTTTCTTGAGCAGCAAATCAGCATATTTGAATTATTTCTGAAAGATCATGTGACACTGAAGACTGGAACAGTTTCCTTAACTGTAAAAATATTTCACAATATTACAGTTTTTACTCTGTTTTTGATCAAATAAATGCAGCCTGGGTGAGAGACTTCTTACATAAATATAAAACTTTAAACATGACTTGTCCCTCAGAAATGGACAGGGGCAGTTGTTGTATGTGTGTATATAGATTTCTTTAGGATGTTTGTATGTTTCTTTTGTTTCAATACAGATGTTAGGTATTCAAGTACTGGCGTTGAATTTGTTTCTCGAGAAAGTTTCTCCAAAATTGCCCCACAAAAAAAGTAAACAATGGTCACTTTTTAAGTAAAATGAATGATAATGCTGAATGATTTCCAGTAAAGTATCAGTTGAGGAACACATGCCTGGTTTAGTGTTGCTGTGTTGCAGTATCTAAGGCAAAAACAGTTGGGAAATGCCTGTCTATACTATGTGATAATTGGAAAGTTTGATCGTGCGGTTTGAAGTGTGAACGTGTTTGTGTGCATGAATGAGTGTGTGTGTGGAAAGGCCACCCAGGTGTGTACTGAGCAGCGTTAGGTCTTTAACTACTTTAATACTAAATATTGTAGAAACTTAATTTGCTGTAAAGTTGCTTTGCAATGATTTGTATCGTGAAAAGCGCAGTACAAATAAACTTGACTTGACTTTAATACACAACAGATGTGAGCTGAAGTGTCGAGCACAGTAGCCATATGGCCACTACGAGACTGAGCAGTGTCACATACGCACACACACTGACAGTACAATACACACACTGCTGAAACCATTTCAGCCTGTTTTCAGTGCATTTGTGTTCTTGGGAGACAGTCTGATAATTTTGTTTTGTGGAAAAAATTATTATTATAATTTTTTACATATTATTTAGATAACATTCGATTAATGATTAAAACAGTCTTGAATATGTGTTACGACATCTCGTGCTTGTGCTTTTCATATGCGTACATGAGCACTCTGGAAAAGACAGACAGGCGTCCATAATCCAGATGAGGACAGATACCGATCTGGGGGTGTTTGGGGTAATGGAAGGAGAGGAAGAGGGAGATTGAGGTGTGGGTGGAGGGGGGGTATTTTGTGACTCAGGGGATCAATGCTTTTGGTTCTGGAGGAAAATAGCAGAGGAGTAAAATGAAAAGGGGGTGTAGCTGCAGCCTTTTCCTCTGGTGCAGTCTGTGCCCCAGAGCCCCAGAGCAGAGACCACAGACAGAGAGAGAGGAGCACAGTAGCCATATGGCCACTACGAGACTGAGCAGTGTCACATACGCACACACACTGACAGTACAATACACACACTGCTGAAACCATTTCAGCCTGTTTTCAGTGCATTTGTGTTCTTGGGAGACAGTCTGATAATTTTGTTTTGTGGAAAAAATTATTATTATAATTTTTTACATATTATTTAGATAACATTCGATTAATGATTAAAACAGTCTTGAATATGTGTTACGACATCTCGTGCTTGTGCTTTTCATATGCGTACATGAGCACTCTGGAAAAGACAGACAGGCGTCCATAATCCAGATGAGGACAGATACCGATCTGGGGGTGTTTGGGGTAATGGAAGGAGAGGAAGAGGGAGATTGAGGTGTGGGTGGAGGGGGGGTATTTTGTGACTCAGGGGATCAATGCTTTTGGTTCTGGAGGAAAATAGCAGAGGAGTAAAATGAAAAGGGGGTGTAGCTGCAGCCTTTTCCTCTGGTGCAGTCTGTGCCCCAGAGCCCCAGAGCAGAGACCACAGACAGAGAGAGAGGACTCAGGTTACACACACTCACACACACACCTACAGAGAGGGAGGCAGAGAGAGGAGAACAGAAAGCACGGCTTTACGTTCACATGTTTACACCTCCCAATTTAAGTCTAATCAGCAAATGACCACAAATAACGGAGATTACAGGTCGTGAGTCTGTTGAAAGCTGTTGAACTGACGCAGTAATATTTATGAATCTTCTGTACTGTGAAAAGAAGTAGGTCTTGCTTTATAGCAAAACAAGCAGCCTGTGTTTAATGTCAAAACAAACAGGTAGAAGTAGCAGCTCAAATACAGATATGAACTGAAGTTTGGTGTCTCCCTGATGTAAAAAAAGGGCTTGTTATAGATTTTTCTCTTTAAACTTGTTACAAAATTCTCATCGTCCTGATGGTTATTGGTTATTTACACCTGTTGCTTGTCTTTTGCACTGTAAATGGACTCTCGTCTCACTTGAGTTAGCAGTCTTAATTCACTTGTTCAGGCCATGTGTAGAAGATACACAGAAATGAGTTA